ATGCTTTGGGTGTGGCCTCGGATGAAGAGGACATGCCTCCCATGCACCTAGCCGCTCCAATTGAAGCAGAGAGAAAGGATGCTTTGGATGTGGCCTCCGATGAGGAGGACATGCCTCCCCTGCACACAGCCGCTCCAGCTGAAGCAGAGGGAACTGACGGTTTGAATGTGACCTTGGAAGAGGACATGCCTCCCGTACACTCAGCTGCTGCAAGATCTCAGAGAGCTCCGTTGCATCAGAGTCCTGACATGAAGGCCAGTGAAGTCCCGACTCAGAGCGCCAGTGAAGTCCCGGCTGTGAACCGTGCTTTCAAGGTTGGGGACCGAGTCCGCATTTGCGGCTCTGCCAAGTGCAAGGTGTCTGCAAGCCAAGTCGGGCGGGTAATGCCATCGGACCTGACATTGGGTGACCGCATCCTGGTTGAACTTGAGCATGGAGATAGGCTTTCGTTTAAACCAGAAGACCTGGAACATATCGTCGAGTCCAAGCCGAAAGATGACTTGGATGACCTGAACTCAGGCTGCGGCTCGGACTCAGGCGACTCATTGCCTCCTTTGGAGTTTATCAGTCGAGATCGCTTGGAGACATGTCAAATCGGTCCTGGAGATTTGGTCCAATTGGTGAACCTCCAAATGCAGGAGCTCAATGGACAGCAAGGCTACGTCCTTCGACTGACGCCTGGAAGAACGGGTCAGAAAGAAGAACGCGTGGAGGCACCGGCCTAAGGAGGAGAGGGCAAACAGAAACGAGGTAAGGGCTCCTTTTGTAAGGCCCTTACCTTCAACCTTTTGTTTCTATCCTTTTTCTGTGAGAGCCCTTTCTTCAATTGTATTGTGCTGCATTCTGTGAAACATTTCCTGGACTTCTCCAAAATGCATGTAGTGTAGAAGCAGTGTAGCAAGCAGACCCACGAGCATGCTTTCTTTAGGGCCTCAGGCTTGGAATGCACAAACACCTTACTGCTGAGTCTAGTCTGCAGAAGACCCACTAACGACAGCCCTTTCTTTAGCGCCTTCCGTCTAAAATGCAATGCACCTGTATTACTACCACTGCGACTGCTACTGAAACGTCGACTGCTGCGACTACTGCTCCTTCTTCTGCGGCACATTCTAGTGATTCTAGTGCCACTACTTGCTGCTCCAACCCAATAGCAATGGCCTCCAACCTGAGAGCGATGGCCTCCCCATTGTTCGAACGAATGCGTAGAGCAATGGAGGTGAAAATGCAAAGCGATGGGAAGATGCTCTCTGTGAAGAGGTCGAACGTGAAGCTCTCCTGTGAGGAGCCTCCAAAACGCCCAAAGCTGCGACTGGAACAGCTGCAGAGGGGTGACGAGGTCATCGTGCAAGGCTTGACCACGGCTTTTTGTCCCAACAGGCAAGTTTTTCTTGCCTCCACCCAAGGCCTTTTTGTTTGGCAGATTTTTAGAGACTCTAGATTTCCACTGAATACTGAATGATATACGCCATGCGATGTGTTTCAAATGAGCATGTTCGATGTGATGTGCAGTTTTTCTGGTCGCTGAGGCTTTAGAGTACAATGGACAGAGAGCTTTGGTGATTGAGAGCACGGACCCTCGAGATCGTGTCACTGTGGAACTCAAACAGTCTGGTCAGCGCATGTCCTTGCGAAGGGACAAACTTCAAGTGGTGCACGAAGGGCGAAGTGACTCCGAGGGCGAAGGCCCCGCTTGCACCCTAGTAGCAATGGCCTCCACCCTAGTAGCAACTCATATTCGACCTTTCTTCCTTTTCCTTTTCTAATAGCGAAGGCCTCCAACCTACGAAAGCGATGGCCCCCCTTGCAGGCGATGGCCGCGATCGAAGAGGCGACGTGGAGGACTTTTCGGAGATGCCGCCCTTGCGAAGCATTCGACAGCCACAGTCACGGAAGGTGAAGTCCCGCTTCCGGGTTGGCCAGAAGGTCTTCCTGGATATGAAGCAGAAACCGGAGTACCATGGCCAGGCGGTTTTTGTGTTACCTTCAGATCCTTTGAAAGTTTTAGATGCCACCATGGTGACTGTGCAACTGCCGACTGGCAAGCGCATCACCACCAAAGAGGCACACCTCAGAGAAGAGGTGACACGGTGAGACGATGGCCACTGACCTCTGAGAGAGGTACATCGGGGTACATCGGATACTGTAAATTCCTACCAGTCTTATTGTACATAGTGCTTGGCACCGCATTCTTGCCAGCAGTTTTGACGAAGAAAACGGACAAAAAAAAGCAAGAGCTGGTGCTAGCTGAAACCAGACCCTTTTTCTTCCAAACTTTACGTTTGACCCCTGCTTTACTAATCTTATCGATCAGATGAATGCAAAGAATGGCGGAGCGGCCGAATTTCAGGGATGGTTTTCTCTCCCATGATGCTGGTGAAACACGACAGGCAGAGCGACGGCGCGTGCGCTGGGAGAGGCTTTCCAGCATTTTATCCTTTGACGTCCTTTGGTGTGTTTTGGAGATTTCAATCTTAAAGGGCCCCCCAAGGGCTTTTGGGAGTTTGCATTTGAGTTTTTGTAAAGCATTCCAGATCCAAGACCCAGTTCGGCCGCGTTTGATTTCATTGTCCTTATATAGGACGCTACTAAGAACACTAGTAACAAAGGGCATCGCTACTAGGAGCAAGGACGCTACGAACGTAGCTCCTCCCCTTTCTGGTAACAAGAAGCTACTAGTAGCAAGTAGCTACTACTACCGTATGATCCACTTTTTGTGATTCGATGCGGTTTGGCGGTCCGATCAATAGTGGCACCTCATGTCCACTGGACACGTTTCCCAAATCTAGGAGCCACATAGTGCGAGTGCGAGCGTAGGCTTTCCTACGGCCTATCCTCCCCCTTAATTTATAGATAACAAACGCATTCTACTAGTAACAAGGGCATCGCTACTAGGAGCAAGAACGCTACTAGGGACTCCTGGCCGCACTACTAGGAGCAACTAGCTACTAGTGACAAGTGCATTCTTGGTTCCTTAACGCCAAGGCAGCTGCAACGCCTGGCTGAAGAGTCCAAGTCTCGTATTGCCAGCGCTGGCAGTGCATGGCACGCAGTCCTCAACGTGGCAGGGGATGCGTCGTTACAAGAGGTCAAGTGGCCTGGAAGCATGTCAGTATGCTTAGGTTGAGGCCACCGCTACTAGGGTGGAGGCCATCGCTCCTCCCCAACGTAGCCTTGCAACACATGAAATGATGGGACACAGTACAGGCCACGTAACAAGAAGCTACTAGGAACGAGTGCATCGCTACTAGGAACAAGT